CCCCAGCCAGCCATGCTGGCTGGGGAATTCTGGGAGTTGAAGTCCACACATCTTAAAGTTCCCAAAGTTGAGAAACACTGATCTACAGCAACATTAATTCTAGATGGGATGATGAAAGTTGTAATCCCTAACATCTGGATATAGTAAGTTGGGTGAGGTGACAATCTGGAGCATCTGGAGTATCTGCTATATCTTACCTTATTTGCAACAAAAGCATTGCTCATGTAAACAAAAAGCCCACAAGTATACAATTAATTTCTATCTATAGCAATAGAATGATAGTGAAAGCTTATTGCCACTTCACTTATGATCCAAAGAGGAGCATATGTACACAAAACATATGCAGCCTGGCACCAGCCACAAGACTGATTTTTATTAACTGAACAATCTGTATAGTAGCTCAGATTTCTGAATTTCAGTTCCCCTCACCAATTTGACATGTACCAAGTTGCCCACTTCTCTTTTGTTCATACCCGATATACACTCAGTGTGCACTAAACAAAAGCCACACACACACAATTTCAGATATAGATATATAGATATATATATTAAAAAAAATAAAAACCAGCATACTTCTCCAAAAGTGAGAGATTTTCTGGGATCTGCCAGTTTTTAATTGAGCCTTTCACAAAACCTGACACCATCACAAAGCCCAAGACGAGGACGTTGATACAAGTGAACACTTTGTTCACCATTGCAGATTCTTTCACACCAAAAGTCAGAAGTCCTAAAAAAATTACAGTGGATAATTGTATTAGAACTGTCTAATCAACACCAACAAGAAAAAATATAGTCTTGGAAATAATTGCATCAACATTTTCCAATGTATTTTTGGAAAGATTTGTACCAACTTATTTCTGAGCTGCTAGCTCCTTTTTTAAAACAGAAGGTTAGGACAGGAAATTACCCAAAACTTTAATTCAGATTGCACAGTAATAGTTTAACTGTCACAAATATGGCCCCTTTCCTACTAAATTATGTTTCAGCTTATGCATATCCAAAGCACTTTCATAACAACAAAGCTATTGTTTGGCTGTGTTGTGAATCTAGCCATTGTCAAACTTTGTAATGACTTAAAAATCTCCAATTATTTCAGTCACTTGATCTAGTATTAATTGTCAATTATTTCAGTCACTTGATTCGGTATTTATATAGTTGCTCCTCTTAAATGATCAGGATATCAATACATGGTCCTGATTCAAACTATCAGTCCATGAAATTGTATCCAAGGATATATTTTTTAAGAAGGTTTCCAAAGCAAACGTAATTTTTAAGAAAGTCTCTAGACATGTTCTGGTCAGTCATGGAAATCTCCATTGCTAGCTGTTGAATGATGTCTCACAAAGGAATGAGACTCAACAAGCTTTTGAGTTGTTCTACAAAGGAATGTAACAGATATGGGAAGAAAGAATTGGGTAATACCTTTCAGATCTGAATGAAGATTTGGCAATTACAGAAATAAGACTGAACAGCTTTCTCACTGGTTTCCAGAAAACATAGCTTTATGTGACATTTACAGAGAGAGAAGGTTGTCAAGCATGGCATGACATCTGAGAAGCACATAATCAGGAAACATGTGAATATTTATGTAGGAGGCTGGAAGTAAACATCCAAAGTAAGGGTGGCTTTTAAAGCTAATTCACTTTAGCATTATGAATGACATATAAGTTAGCTTCTTAAGTCACAAGTGAAAAATGAGAAGTTTTAAAACCCATTCTAAAGGACATCTTTAATCAGATTTTATCACAAGAAAAAAAGTACTGCTAGAATTGTTCAACAATTTCCAGACTATACCTACATACGCATATATACAGTATCAAAGTAATTTCAAACAGGATGTGGTAAATAGCAGTCCTATCTCTGCAACCACTCAGAAGGTCAACCTGACACTCACAGCAAACAAAAAAGCTTTTAAAAATGCCAAAACAAATGAGCCCATTCACTGTCCCTCAAAAGCACAACAAAATACTCATCCCAAATAAGATTTCTTTCTTTCTCTCACCTGTTAAGATTAGGATAATGAAAACAGAAAAGACATCTGGGTATCCTGCCAGTACACCAGGAGCATTCATGGACATGTAGCGCCGAAAGAATTTCTCAATATGCTCGCCTATAAGTTCATCAAATGTTGCACTCCAAGCTCTGGCCACACTTGATGTTCCTGCACGAGAATAAAAATGAAAGCTACCTCTTTATGACACTGTAACCACTAACATACATGCCTACATATACATGATACTATTTCATCTGGGGTTAACAAAGTTATGCAAAGCACAGAAATTGCCAATTTATAAAACATCTAAGAATACAGATATGAAGATGACTAGCTTGGAATTGGAATCTCAAGTGTCTTGATCTGGTTACCAAGGGACTGATGGCCCAAACATTAGACTAAGGAATTTTTTGCTGTATCTCATTTTTATGTTTTCATTTTACAGCCCAAACAGCAAGGGATGCTTTGGGTTCCGACATATCCTTAATGGCACCAAACAGAACCGTGCAACTGCTCTTGAAGAGTTTTGTTATCAAAATGTCCACTGAATCTTCTAGAGGAAAGTTCTAAAAGCAGGTTGAACAAGGATGCAAGACAATTCTGACCATCTTCTTCTGAAATGTGTATTGTTTGTTTCCTACTACTCCCCAGGTTCCCAGCCTGTATCATAAGAACAGGAGTTACTCCCACAAATCCACAGGACTGTAGTGAAAAATAAGTCAATTCAGCCACAGAAGCCTGTTGTATCCAGGAGCTCAAATGACCCATAAGTGGGTTGTTCCCTATTGTACATTTTAAAAGGTCAGCGATTCTGTAAATTTTTGCAATTAAAAATTTAAGTCAGAGATATCACCAAAGTCCATACATCTTTGTCTCAGAATACAAAACTTAGCAACTCATAATGCCCCCTGCAAAACAAGGTGAACAATTCTATCCTTTCATGTAAGTGAAATATATACCCATTATATGAGTCCCTTTCAGGGGAAGCAACATTATGCAAAGCACAGAAAAAGAATAAAAAATAGTAAGCAAACAGTTAAAGAGATGAGATAATAAAAAGAAAAGGAAATAGAGTTAAATCCAGTTTACATCAACATCACTCATTATACGTCTCCATAGCATTCTGTCCTTGCAAGCTATTCTTGCTTTCACCTTATCCATACACCAATTCATTCAATGCCTTTTATTTCTTAACCCCATCTCTTTAATTTTTCAGAATCTCAACTCCACCCAACCATGATTTTCTTAAGTCTTCCTGTTCCTCTCAATCCATTCACTCTTCTGTTATATACTTATTCTGCATTTCGGTCCTCACTGATATCCTCTATATGACCAAACCAGCTTTTTTTGTAGTGGTCACCTATTTATGGCTTCAGTTCACATTCTTTCATCACTCATTCATTTTTGACCTTATCTCTACTTTTTTATCATCAAGCAGCCCATTCCCAATACACTGAATTTACTGTTATGTTTCCCTTAACATATCCCACCCTTACTTCCAAAATTAAAAGAAGCCTGTTACAAACATTTGTTCCTTGCAGCAGACCACCCAATCTTCTTTTACAAGCATTTGGGTATCTAACATTTCTCAATTTTTCCATTTTTACTAAATATTCTACCAATACAAATTCATCTTCTACCTCTAGTTTTCACCATTTATGTATAACATACAATTGTTCATTCCACTTCCTTTGTCAAACCTAACTACCTTGATCTTTGATACACTGATCAATCTCCAACTTTAATCGAATCCTAAAAAAAAAAAAAATCATTCAAGTCCCATGCATTTATTTCCTGATTGTGCTTTGTTGTGCAAAACAAAAGTCTGTTTCCACCAGCAGTTCAGCCCTGATAAGACACCACGCATGAAAATTGTACCCTCAATCTGCACAATTGCCCAGTGGGAGAAAATATAAAATAAGAGGATGCTGTTGCAGAGGGCATGGAAGTATCAAGACAAATCATCAGAGTTAGGAGGCTGTGAGAATCAATAACAATGCCAACAAAATGAAGCTCCAGTATGAGTGCGATGAGTAAAAACTCATAATTTTAATCAGAATGAAAGCAAGGTATTTCCTGATTTAAGGAAGAAAACAGCTTGGTCTGACAAGTTCAATCGCACTTTGAATGAAGGCAAGGGAGGTAACTTACAGGCCACGTCTAGGGTGGCTAATGGTAACTGGTGATTATGGGAGCTTAAGTCCAGTCTACATCTGAAGGGTACAAGACTGGAAAGGGAGCTCCTTGAGTACTTCTAGAATGCAAAAGCCATCTTCTCTAACTTGATACCCTTTGAAGGCATTGGACTTCAACTGGACTTCTCCATAATTGATTTTATACCTTAATCAGCTGCCTAACAGAGTGAAAATTCTGCTAGAAAGCAACATAAAATGACTCACAGGGTCCATGTTCTGATCAACAAGATCAGGGAATGTAAAATCTATAAATGCATACAAAGCAAGGAAATTCTTTATGTGAACACCAAGTAGTTGTAAATAAATACAGAGCTTTTGAAGTTCAACCTACATTCCCCTCCAAACCCTTCCTATTCAACCACTCCCACTTATTTTGGAACAAATTCTATCTTTAAACAAATTCATGCTGTGCTTCTCCCAACTATTTTCTTTTATCACAGAAAAACATGAACCTCTATTTCTTTACCGTTCTACTAAAAAAAACAGAATTAAATACTTGTTACAGGAACTGCCTGTTGAAAAATTATTCGACAAAATGTGGATTCTATCAAAGATAAATATTGTTCAGCTACATGTCATTAACAGCCAAGAAAAAATTGTTTTAAGCAGATTTTCAACCACGGTTGCTAAAATGATGCATGTAATATTAATATGTTTCATTTTTTAAAAAAAGTTCTAAACTAATAAAAACTAATAAATATACATTTCCTTGAGGACACAAATTTTTATAAGAAAAACTGATTTACTAACATTCAACAAAACATTTCTGAATATATTTATCTTTCATGCTTTATACATGAAAGAGCTTTCAAACATGGCATCTCCTATTCATTTTCATGAACTTAATTAATTATACATTTTATTAACTCTTCACCAATTCTTGCAAGATATCATGATGTAACTCTATGATCTGGCTGAAACAATCACCTCTTATCTCATTATTCAAGAAATGCATGTGCCTTTTGCTTGAATATGTATCATTTCTGCTCAAGCCATGATTAAATTGTCTTCCAATTCAGAGCTCAAGAAACTTTTATTTGCCCCAAACTTTAATCACTGGCTCAGACACAGGCATGAAATAAAGTTAAAAATTTTAAAAATCTTTTAAGAGCTCACACAAGACTGCCAATAATCTCATGGAATTTCAGTAATTACAAGACCAGGGGCCCTCTCAGGGCCAGATAGGGACTATGTTTCCACCTGTAATCTAATTAATTAGAGTTTGCCATTTCATACATATAAAGAAACTAGCGTTACCAGAAGCCACACAATGGTTTAGTTGTTCCAAGCCTGATAGATATAACATCTATTGCTAAAATGAAAAGCTACTATAAGTAATCTGAGATTCTGTGTTCAATCATAATTTGTTAAAAAAAAGAAGAGTATAGGGCTGCACATTCTGTATGGTCTATGATTTCAAAATCTATACCTAAATCATGTTTCTTCTCTTTTTTGATAAATTATTTCTGTAACTGGCAAAAGAGAGAAACATCCAAAATAAATTTGGAATGTTCTCCTACAATCAGTCTTGTAGGAAGGCCCAGTTTTGCTTTCCAACAAGACCTGCACTACGAGTAAGGCTTTTATCATATTTGTCCCAAGGCTATAGAGCCACCCCCCTCCATTCATTTTAGTTACATCATTGTAACTAAATCATTGTAAGCCACTTTCAGAGGCTGAAACTTTAAAAGAACCATTCCTTTTAAAGTGCAGCTCTTGTTAGCCAGTCTACCCTACCCAAACTTGTGCCTTTGTGATGATAATATCGAGATGTTCTGAAGTTTAAAAGGAAGTTGTTACTATGAACAGAGCAGAATGCAATATTTCACCAATCTAACCCTGTTCTTGATTAAATCGACCAATGATACACAGGAATACCCACCAATGACATAAGAAAGAATTAGGTTCCAGCCAGTAATGAATGCCCAGAGCTCACCAACAGTCACATAACTATACAGATACGCTGATCCAGTCCTTGGAACTCTAGCACCAAATTCTCCATAGCAAAGTCCAGCCAGCACAGAAGCCAGAGCTGCAATCAGAAAGGAAATGACAATGGCAGGTCCTGCGCTTTCTTGTGCCACTGCTCCAGCAAGAACATAAACCCCTGCCCCAAGGGTGCTGCCTACTCCAAGGGCAACCAAGTCAAATGTGTTGAGGCACCGTGAGAGCCGGCTATCTTCTCTTGTACAGTCTACCACTTTCCGACGAAACAACTGCTGTCCAAAATGGACAAGTTTCTGGCAAGACATCTTCTTGACTGAACCTGTAAAATAAGAGAATATATCTGAGTCAGTATCGTTGGACAGGCAAAGCTAAGCTATTTCTAAAAATAGCTCTGTTCCATGGTAGCAACTCCCCTAATTTAGTGCCCTCCAAACCTGTTGGACAGTGGACAAGCTTTATGTTAAGGGATAAAAAAATAGTTGATTATTTGCTGACACAGATCCCAAATTTAAGTGTGCAACCCTATGAATTCCTACTTAGAACCCAGTTCACTTGAGTTGAGCTGATTTATTCCCAATTAAGAGTTCATGATGGCAGCCTATTTTACAAAGTAAAAAATGGAGAGGAAAGAGAGACTGAAACATTTCATTTCCTCATTTCTCAAGCATTATAAATATGAAGCAATATGTTATATATTTATTTTCCAGAATATCTCTGTCACTAGTAATGTTTTACTTTCCATTACACAGAGCAGCTATTTTTTTGCCAAGCAGTTGCCGGCCTGACTTCTGAGCATTTAACCAACAACATAATGCATCTGATTCTTTTGATTTTTAGTCTCTTGTCTTCAAGTAAATGGTCCTGATTAGGGGCAAACAATATGTGATGTTCTATTTTTTAAAAAATACACACATATACAGTACTGTGCAAAAGTTTTAGGCAGGTGTGAAGAAATGCTGTAAAGTAAGAATGCTTTCA